TATGACGATATTTTTATTAGACATGGTGTTGAACAATTACAAACAAAACGAGTAAAAAACGAAGAAATACAAAAAACAAAAAACAAATTACAAAATCGAATTTTAACTTTGAATTTTCATCCATATTTAAATCAAATCGAACAAATCAGGAGAAAAATTTAATTTAATTTAATTTTTTTGTTTAATTGTTATGAATTCATAAACGTCGTTTCACATTTTTAATTATTTTTATTTTTTTTTTAAATTTGTTTTTTAAAAATTATAATTTATTTATTCAAATAATATTTCAGATTTTGGTCATTTTTGTAGTTGTTGTTGTTGGTGTTTTTGATATTGATGAAACTGGTAATGATTTTCCGGACACTTTAGTTATTTTTGGTGTTTTTGATATTGATGAAACTGGTAATGATTTTCCAGACACTTTACTTGTTGTTGTTGGTGGTGTTTTCAATATTGATGAAACTGATAATAACTTTCCGGACATTTTAATCGTTGTTGTTGTTGGTGTTTTTGATGCAATTGAATCTGATACGGATTTTTCAGTTATTGTTGATGTTGATGTTGTTAATGAATCTGATGATAATTTTCCAATCATTTTTAACATTGTAGTTGTTGTTCCTGTTGTTTTTGTTTTTGATGAATCATTGAATAATAAACTTTTTCCATCTAAATTAATTGGTTGTTTATTTGGTAAATTATTTTTTTTTTCAAATTGTAATGGTAATTTTTTTAAAATTTTTTCAGCAAATTTTTTTCGTTTACAATAATAAACAATCAAACCAATCAATATTGATACAAATATTAATATTGCTGATATTGATAAAATGAATTTAATTGTAGAAATATGTTTATTATCATCAATATTATCCGGAAAAAATGTATTATAATCATGAAAAAAATCCCGATATGATTGTAATTGAAATTGATATTTACGATAATTATTTTCAAATATATTCATTGAAAATGTAATTAATTTTTCATCCGGATTTGAAAATAAAAACATTTGATTATCATCAACAAAACCATATGTTAATGTATGTTGACCAAATATTTTCGAAAATGATTTGGTTAATTCTTGTTGTTGTTGTTGTTCATTTGATTTTTCATCAAATTGATATAAAAAATTTAAACTTGAATCAACCACTATGGATTTTGTCCATTCAAAATTCTTATCACCATAATTTTTTCTCTTTAATTTCATCATTTGTAAATAGAATGATAATTTACTATAAACTAATGTTATTAATCCTTTATTTTGATATGATATTGTACCCATTATATGTTTATTTTCTTCATGTGAACCAAAAAAAATTTTTACATTTTTCATATCAATTTCTTGATTATAATCACCAATATAATATTTTGTTTGATCTAATAATTTTAAACAATAAATACGTATTTTTCCATTCTTATCGATTGACATTGACATACTTATTATTATTGGTGGTGGTTCATTATTATTATTAGCTGTTGAATGTTGATTATCCATAGTTTTATTATCATGATTCATTGATGATTCTTCTTCTTCTTCATCACTACTACCATTCCATTGTAATATTGTCATCAATTGTTTTGCAACATTCGATGGTATCAAATCAACTAAACCATTAACCAACATTTGACCATCAACCAAATTCAATTTATAATTATTGGTTGTTTCATTTATTTTATTTAATTTTTCATAATCATATCGGATAATTTCAATCATATTATCGATAAATAAAAATTGATATAAATGATTATTTGTAATCGATATGCCAATTGTTTCTTTTAAATATTTACTACCAAATTGAATTGTTTGTAAATGTCGTTTTTGTAAATTTTTTTGTAATGTTATTGTACTTTGATTAATGATTACAAACATCATCATCATAATGACGATATTTACATTGGACATGATGTTAAACAAAAACAAAAAAAGAGTAAGAAAAAATACAAAAGAATATTTTTTTTTTATTTAAAAAATACAAATTTAACATCAATTTTCATTCATATTTATAACAAATCGAACAAACTAACAAAAATTACAAATTAAAAATTTTATTTAATTATTTTGATTTTAGATTTTTGATATTAATGAAATTAATTTTATAATTTGTAATTAATTGACTTGATTGATTGATTCAATGGTGACTGATTTGATTCGTTTTGGAAATACACAAATTCCAAGACGACCACATCGAACATTGCTCTATTATGCAATTTGAAATGATTAACGGCATCATTAACCATTCGAATGACAGTTAATTCATATCTTACAAAATGTTCGGAATAGATTGTTACATCTATAAGTTGCCGTGTTTCTGGGTTTATCAAAGAAAAAATTTTTTAATCTCCTTAAGCCACAATTCGGTACGATATAAAGGCAAGATAAGTTTTTTTTAGAACATTTCCAACATTTGAAGCCCAGAGCTTCATGACGTGGATCGATTAACCTATTGATCTTTCGAAAATTTTTTTCGGGAAGCTGCCAATTGTTCGTCTCATAAGGTCGTTGCTAGAGATTTCCAGCAGCCCATAACCTTGCCATACTTTTTGGTAATTTTATGACTTTTGATTTATCTCATCGCTGACGAAAGATACAATGGGCCGAATCGTGGTATATCGGGGGCACAATAATGTAATAATTTGTGAAGTTTGAAAGTTACTTTATATTTCAGCTGGACTGATAGCGACAAAAGAATCGATAATGGATCTGCTTCGAATATCCATGTTGTAGAAAAATCTTCAATTTGTTTTCATCAACGAAACACAATTATTGACTCAAAAAGTTACAAAATATTGTGATTTGGTAAAAAAAACAAACGTACAAATCGAAAACGATTTCTGTTATTCGCATGAACAATTCATATTTCTATTTTAAAAAATTGAAAATTTTTTTAATTTGAATTTTTTTTTTTGGATAAGATTTAACCAGAACTTACTTGTGTATACAGTGATACTTAGTGACTGTAGAAATTGTTCCTGAAATGATCTGTAATCTTTTTCAGATTAACTTTTATTTTTCCATGATAGAATGGAAAAACTTTTCAAGCTGCGTTTACCAAGCATCATTTCGTTTGTGAAAAATTTAAATTTTTTATGTTCAAACATTTTTAACAATAAACAAGATGTGTGTCGTTCTCGATTTCAAACGAAAATGAACACAGGTTGAATCAATGTTTTTTTGAACTGTTTCGTTTTGTTTCTAAATTCGAAAAATTTTTATCGTTCGAAAATTCGAAAATTCGAAGAATCGAAACACGTTATTCAAAAACAAGTGTCACACGAACAAAGTCAAATCACGCTTACTATTCATAAACGACGTTTTTTTAAACATTTAAAATTTTTTTTTAATATTAATGTTATCGGTTATTAATCATATAATATATCAGTTTGTTCATTCACTTCTGTTGAATCTGGTATGGATTTTTCATTCATTTCTGTTTCTGTTGCTGCTGATCTTCTTGTTGTTGTTGGTGATGATTTCTGATTTTTAATTAAATTAGATTTTTTTTCATCATTAATTGAATTTTGTTGTTTTTCAATACCATAACGATCTAATGGAAATTTACGTTTCGATTGTTGCTCTGATGATGATGATGATGATGATGATGATACAGGTTTTTTAACTGATTTTTGTGATTGAAAACAAACCATCATTCCAATTAATAATAATATTGATAATATTATTATTATCATTATTGATAAAAATGGAAATTTTGACTGTTGTTGTTCATTTGATGGTACAGTTGTTGTTGTTGTTTTCGGTGATTTGATAATTGTTGATTTAATTTTTGTTGCTGTTGGCAATGATGGTTGTTGTTTTACAGTAGTAGTAGTAATAGTTGAAATAGTTTTTTTATCCGAATCCAATGGTCTATTGCAATGAAAAAAATCCTGATATGATTGTATATTGAATGGATATTTTTGTTTGGATAAATCATTATTTCGAGTAAAATTTGATGAAAATGTTATTAATTTTTCATTTTGATTTGAAAATAAATAGATTTGATTATTAGCAACAAAACCATAGGAAAAGGTTGATTGACCAAATATTTGACCAAATAATCGTCTGAATGTTTGTTGTTGTTGTTCAGTTGGTTTTTCATAAATTTCATATAAATATTTTAAACTTTTATCAATCACCAATGATTTTATCCATTCAACATTCTTATCACCATATTCTTTTTCCTTTAATTTCATCATTTTCAATAGGAATGATAATTTTCCATAAAATAATGATATTATTCCTTCGTTTTCAAAGGAAATTGTACCCATTATATGTTTTCCTTTATATAAACCAATCCATTTTTTTATTGTATGTAAATGAATTTCCTGATTATAATCACCAATATTATAATTTATTTGATCCAATGTTTTTAAACAATAAATATGTATTTTTTCATTTTTATTTATAGACATTGCCATACTTATTATTGGTGTTGGTTTATTACTATTATTACGATTTTTTGATTCATCATTACCTTTCCAATGAATTATTTTCATCATATCTTTTACTACATCCGATGGTATTAAATCCTCTAATCCATCCAATAATATTTGACCATCGATTAAATTTAATTTATAATTATTTTTATCATTATATTCCGTTAATTTTTGATAATATCTAATAATTTGTATATCATCATTTATATATAAAAATTGATATAAATGATTATTGGTTAGTGATAGGCCAATTGTTTCTTTTAAATATTTTGCGCCACATGGAATTATTTGTAATTGTAATGTAGTTGTAAATTGATGAATAATAATTATTAAAAACATTATCCATTTGATTATTTTATTATTAAGCATGGTCAAACAAACACAAACAAACAAAAATCAGAAAAGTAAAAAAAAACAAAATTCAAAATTGTAATTTTAACTTTAATTTCATCTATATTTGAATCAAATCCAACAATCCAGAACAAACAAAAAAATTAACTTAATTTGTTTATTTGTAAAAATAATTTTTATTTGTAATTTAAAACTTAATATAATGTTTATTTGTAATTTCATTAATAATTCGGATTTATCGTTTTATTATTCATCATTTGTGTTGGTGGTGTTTTTGATATCATTGATGATGAATTTGTTGATAATTTTTCGCTCACTGTTGTTGTTGTTGATATTGATGTTGGTAATATTGATGAATTTAATGAAAATCTACCATCTAATCGATTACTAGGTGAATTTTGTAAACTATAACGTTGTAATAGAAATTTATGTATCGATAATGGTGTTTTAATTTTTTTAATTTTTTGTATATAATAAACAACCAAACAAATTAACGTTAATACTAAAAATACTAATATTGATAATATTAATATTATTATTAAATATGGAATTGTTATTGGTTGTTGATCAAATATTGATCGTATAGTTGTTGTTTTCAAATTATTCGGCTTGATAGTAATAGAATTCGGTAATTTTGTAACTGCTGTTTTTATTGTCGATATTATTGTTGTTGTTGACGGTGATGGTTGTTGTTTTTCGGTAGTTATCGTCTTCATTGTTGTAGTAGAATCATCATGTTTTGTTGATGGTTGTGGCTTTACAGTAGTAGTTGTAGAAATAGTCGTTTGTTTATTATCATCAATTTTAACCGGATCTAATGGTCGATTACAATGAAAAAAATCTTTAAATGATTGTAATTTAAATGGATATTCTTCATCAATATCAGCATTTTCTCTTTTAAAATTTGATGAAAATGTAATTAATTTTTCATCTTGATTTGCGAATAAAAAGATTCGATCATTATCAATAAAACCATATATAAATTTATGTTGACCAAATACCTGGGCAAATGATTTTGTAAATTCTTGTTGTTCTTGTTCGGTAGTGTAATCATCCATTTCATTTATAAATTGTAAACTTGAATCAATTACAAAATGTTTTTCCCATATAAAATCATCATCATTTTGATAATTTTTCATTAATTTTATAATATCTAAACTGAATGATAATTTATGACTATAAACAGATGATAATATTCCATTATTTTCATTTGAAATGGTACTTTTTATCATTTGTTTATCATATTTATTAATAAATGTTTTTACTTTACCAAAATCAATTTCCTGATTATAATGACCATTATAATATGTTAATTGATCAAATGTTTTCAGACAATAAATACAAATTCTTTTATCCGGATTATATGATATTGCCATACTTATTATTGGTGTTTGATGATGATGATGATTTTTTGATTGTTCATCACTAGCTTTCCATTGTATTACTGTCATGATTTGTTCAACTATATTTGGAAATACTAATGCAACTAATCCATTATTCAACATTTCACCATCAATCAAATTTAATTTATAGTCATTTTTATCGATATTATTTTCCGATAATTTTTGATAATCATATCTGATAATTTGTATCGTATTATTTATAAATAAAAATTGATATAAATTATTATTGGTTATCGACAGGCCAATTGTTTCTTTTAAATATTTTGTACCACATGGAATTGTTGATTGCAATTGTCGTTTTTGAATATTATTGGTTTGTAATATCGTTGTACTTTGATGAATAATTATAAAAATCATTATTATAATGACGAAAATATTCTTATTATACATTGGTCAAAACGAGTAAAAAACTAAGGAAAAATACAACAAAATTAATTTACAAAAAAAAACAACAAGTTTTTAAAAAATACAAAATTTACATCAACTTTTCATCATCCATAATTAAATCAAATTCAACAAATCAGCAAAATAAAAAAAATTGATTCAATTTGTAATTTTTTGTTTGTAAAACTAAAATTTTATTTATTCAATTAATATTATAAATTTTGCTCATTTTTTTTGTTGTTGATGGTGTTCTTGATAACATTGATGAATTTGATATTGTTTTCTCATTCATCGTTGCTGTGCTTGTTGCTGCTGCGCTTGTTGCTGTTGTTGTTGTTTTTGATGGTGATATCAATGAATGGGACTTTCCATCTAAATTAATCTGCTGTTTTGGTAATAATTTTTTTACTGGATTTTTTTTACCGGATTTTTTTCGTAAAAAACAAACCAACGATACAATCAATAGTAAAAATATTATTATTGATGCAACTATAATTATCAAAATAGTAGTAGAAAATTCTTTTGGTTCATTATTAGGTACATCAGTTCCATTATTATGTTTATTATCAATTATAATCGGTTCAATTTTTTTATTACAATTTATAAAATCACGATATGATTGTAATTTGAATGGATATTTTTGTTCCATATTTTCAAAAATATCCATTGAAAATGTTATTACTTTATCATCATGACTCGAGAATAAATAGATTTGACCTTTATCAACAAAACCATATGTAAATGAATATGGACCAAATATTTGTGCAAATGATTTTATAAATTCTTGTTGTTGTTGTACACTAGGTGTTTCATCAAATTGATATATAAGATTTAAACCCGAATCAACTACCAATGATTTTTTCCATTCAAAATTAGTTGTACCATATTGTTTTTCCTCAAATTTATACATTTTTATACGATATGATAATTTACCATAAAACGATGATATTATTCCTTTGTTTTGATAGGAAATCGCACCCATTATTTGATTTTCTTCATGTACACCGGTAAATATTTTCACTTCATTCATATCGATTTCTTGATTATAATCACCAATTTGATATGTTAATCGATCATAAGATTTTAAACAATAAATACGTGTTTTGTTTGTTTGTTCATTAATCGATATTGCCATACTTATGATTGGTGATTGATTAGCATTATTCTTTGATTCTTCATCTTTACCTTTCCATTGTATAACTGTCATTAATTTGTTCACTATATCCAATGATATTAAATCCTCTAATCCTTTATCCAACATATTACCATCGATTTTTTTATCATGATTTTCCGATAATTTTCCATAATCATATCGAACAACTTCAATAGTTTCATTTATAAATAAAAATTGATAAAAATGATTATTAGTTATCGATAGACCAATTGTTTCTTTTAAATGTTCCATACCACATGGAATTGATCTTGGTTCTTGTTTTCCTGTTACATTATGTTGATCACTGGTTGTACATTGATGAACAATAATTATACCGATCAATTTGATAATAATAACGATATTTTTGTACATTTTTAAATCAAAAATCAAGTGAAAAAAATCAGGCGAAAAAATTAGAAAAAAAAACAAGTTTTAAAAAATACAAAATTAACATCGAATTTTCATCCATATTTAAATCAAATTCAACAAATCAGAAAATTGATTCAATTTGTAATTTGTTTTGTAAAATTAAAATTTATTTATTCAATTAATAATTTTGCTCCGTTTTGTTGTTGTTGGTCATTGATGAATATTCAGATATTGTTTTCTCATTCATGTGCTTGTTACTGTTGTTGCTGTTGTTGTTTTGGTTGGTGATATCAATGAATCGGATGTTCCATCTAAATTAATCTGCTGTTTCGGTAATGATGTTAATGGTAATTGTTTTACTGGATTTTTTTTACCAGATTTTTTTCGTAAACAATAAACCAACGATACAATCAATAGTAAAAATATTATTATTGATGCTACTATAATTGCCAAAATAGTAGTAGAAAATTTGAATCCATTTGGTTCATTAGTTACATCAGTTTCATTATGTTCCTTTTGTTTATTATCAATTATAATCGGTTCAATTTTTTTATTACAATCTATAATATCCTCATATGATTGTAATTTGAATGGATATTTTTTTTCATTATTTTCAAAAATTTCTATTGAAAATGTTATTACTTTATCATTTTGATTTGAAAATAAATAGATTTGACCTTTATCAACAAAACCATATGTAAATGTATGTTGACCAAATATTTTATTAAATGATTTTTTTAATTCTTGTTTTTGTTCATCATTTGGTTTTTCATTCAATTGATATATAAAATTTGAACCAGAATCAACTGCCAAAAATTTTTTCCATTCAAATTCAGTTTTACCATAATGTTTTTCATGTAATTTTAACATTTTCATACGATATGATTGTTGTTTATTATAAAAAAATATTATTATACCATTATTTTCATATGAAATTGTACCCGTTATATGATTTATATTATTTTTACCATAAAATCTTTCAATTTTATCCATATAAATTTCCTGATTATAATCAACAACATAATATTCTAATCGATCATAGGATTTTAAACAATAAATACGTATTTTACCATTCGTATTGATTGACATTGCAATACTTATTATTGGTTGTTGTTTATTAGCATTATCATGATTCTTTGATTCTTCATCACTACCTGTCCATTGTATGACTGTCATTAATTTGTTCACTATATCCAATGGTATTAAATCCTCTAATCCTTTATCCAACATTTTACCATCAATTTTTTTATCATGATTTTCCGATAATTTTCCATAATCATATCGAATAACTTCAATAGTTTCATTTATAAATAAAAATTGATATAAATAATTATTAGTTATCGATAGACCAATTGTTTCCTTTAAATGTTCCATACCACATGGAATTGATTGTGGTTCACTGGTTGTACATTGATGAACAATAATTATACCGATCAATTTGATAATAATAACGATATTTTTGTGCATTTTTAAATCAAAAATCAACTGAAAAAAATCAGGAGAAAAAATTAGAAAAAAACAAGTTTTAAAAATACAAAATCAACTTCGGATTTTCCTCCATATTTAAATCAAATTCAACAAAAATCAGAATTAGAATTTAGAACTTTATTTAGTCGACGTTTAACAATTTTTTCAAAAAAAAACTAAAATTCATTTAATTAAAATAATATTTCAAACTTTGGACATTTTCATTGTTGTTGATGTTTTTGATATCGATGAAAGTGGTGCTAATTTTCCGGTCACTTTACTTGTTGCTGCTGGTGTTTTCGATATCGATGAAAGTGGTGCTAATTTTTCACCCATTTTACTTGTTGCTGCTTGTGTTTTTGACATTGATGAAAGTGGTGCTAATTTTTCACCCACTTTACTTGTTGCTGTTGCTGATGTTTTTGACATTGATGAATTCAGTGAAGATGACATTCCGGAAACTTTAGCCCCTGTTAGTGTATTCGTTATATTCGATGAATGTACTGTAGACTTTCCGGACATTTGAGTTGATATTGGTGTTTTTGATATTATTGATGAATTTGAAAAGGATTTTTCTGTCATTGTTACTTTTATTGTTGGTAATATTGATGAATATGTTGATAATTTTCCATCTAAATTACTTTTTTGTTTGGGTGTTGTTAATGGTTTTAAATTGTATTGATTTTTTTTACCCAATTTTTTACGTAAACAATAAACAAACAATCCAATCAATAGTAAAAATACTAATATTGCTGCTGCTATCATTCCCATAATAGCAGCAGAAATATTAAATTCATTATTATCAATATTTTCAGTATTATTCTTATTATTATTATTATTATCAATTATAACCGGTATTAATTTTTTTGTACAATGAAAAAAATCCTGATATGATTGTAATTTTATTGGATGTTTTAGAAAATGTGTTACCAAAACATCCATTGAAAATGAAATTAATGTTTCATCTTGATTTGAAAATAAATATATTTGATTTTCATCAACAAAACCATATGTGAATGTATGTGGACCAAATATTTCATTAAATAATTTTGTTAATTCTTGTTTTTTTTCATCATTTGGTTCTTCATACTTTTGATATATAAATTCTAAACTTGAATCAATAAATAATATTTGATATTTTAATTCATGATCATTATCACTATAAGAATTTGCTTTTAATTTTATCATATTCAAACTGAATGATGATTTACTATAATGTGATGATATTATACCTTGATTTTTATTTGAAATTGTACATCTTATCTGTGGATGGTCATGTGTAATAAAATATTTTTCCACTTTATTCGAATCAATTGCTTGATTATATTCACCAACATAATATTTTGATTGATCATAGGATTTAAGACAATAAAAATGTATTGTTCCATTCGGATTGATTGACATTGCACAATTTATTATTGGTGGTGGTTCATTATCATCATCTGAATGATGATGACGTCCATCATCATTCCAATTGATTACTGTCATTAATTCTTCAACCATTTTCTCAGGTATCAAATCTTTTAAACCATTTACCAACATATGACCATTAATCAGATTCATTTTAGTATCATTATGTTCCGATAATTTTTGATATTCATATTTGATTACTTGAATCGTTTCATTTATCAATAAAAATTGATAAAAATGATTATTGGTTATCGATAGGCCAATTGTTTCGTTTAAATATTCAATACCACATTTTATTGGTTTTGGTTTTGGTTGATGATGTTCATTGGTTACATTATTATGTGGTTGTAATGTCGTACTGTGTTCATCGTTGGTTGTACATTGATGAATAATAATTACAACCATCAATTTGATAATAACGATATTTCTGTACATTTTAAATCAAAAACCAAGAGAAAATCAGTAGAAAAAAAATAATATCACAATAAAAAACACAATCAATTTACAAAATTGTAATTTAACTTCATTTTCAGCTATATTTGAATCAAATACAACAAACCAGAACAAAAAAAAATTAACTCAATTTGATTTTTTTTTGTTATTTTGTTATTTTAGAATTTTATTTTATTTTATTTTTTTTTTTGTTATTCAAGGTTTAAGGTTTTGTTATTAAATATTTCACATTTTGCCCTTTTTTATAATTTTTGGTGTTTTTGATATTGATGAAACTGGTAATAATTTTCCGGATACTTTACTTGTTATTGGTATTTTTGATATTGATGATCGAACTGTTGGTTTTCCCATCATAATATTTGATGGCGGTGTTTTTGATATTGATGAAAGTGGTAATGATTTTCCGGACACTTTACTTGCGATTGGCATTTTTGACATAGATGATCTCATTGTTGGTTTTGCCATCACATTACTCGTTGTTGGTGGTGTTTTTAATATTGATGAAAGTGGTAATGATTTTCCGGACACTTTACTTGTCATTGGTATTTTTGATATAGATGATCTCATTGTTGGTTTTGCCATCACATTACTCGTTGTTGTTGTTGGTGGTGTTTTCGATTTTGATGATTGAATTGATGATTTTCCGCTCACTATACCTGCTGGTGTTTTCGAAGATGAAGCTGATATTGATTTTTCTGTCATTGTTGCTGTTGTTGGTGATGATAATATTGTTGAATCGGATTTTCCATCTAATTTGATTTGCTGTTTAGGTGATGATGTTAATGGTAATTTTTCAAGATATTTTTTAACCAAATCTTTTCGTGAACCATAAACAAACAATCCAATCAATAATATAAATATTATTATCGATGCTATTATAATTAATATAATATTTGTATAAATAAATTCTTTTAATTTATTATGTTTTTTATTTACATTATGGTCATCATGTTCTTCATCAGGTTCATTATGTACATCAGTTTTATTATGTTCCTTATGTTGTTTATCATCAATTTTAATCGGATCCACTGGTTTATTACAATGAAAAAAATCCTGATATGATTGTAATTTGAATGGATATTTTTGAGAATGTGTTTCCATAGCATTCATTGAAAATGAAATTAATTTTTCATCTTGATTTGAAAATAAATAAATTTGATTTTCATCAACAAAACCATATGTAAATCTATGTTGACCAAATATTTCATTAAATGATTTTGTTAATTCTTGTTTTTGTTCATCATTTGGATTTTCATTCAATTGATATATGAATTCTAAACTTGAATCAATCAAAAATGTTTTATATTTTAATTCAGGATCATTATCACTATAGGAATTGTCTTTTAATTTTATCATACTCAAACTGTATGATGATTTACTATAATGTGATGATATTATTCCTTCATTTTCATTGGAAATTGTACATCTTATCTGTGGTTGATCATGTGTACCAAAATATTTTTCCACTTTATTCGAATCAATTGCTTGATTATATTCACCAACATAA